GTGTGTGTGTGTGTGTGTGTGTGTGTGTGTGTGTGTGTGTGTGTGTGTGTGTGTGTGTGTGTGCGTGCGCGACATGCGAGACATGTGGTGGGCTGCGGCTGCTGTTCTGACAACGCACCGATGAGGATGAATCCAAAGTCTTCCGAGGGGTGGTCGGCCCAGAACTGCACGTCAGCTTCGAGGCCCGCCCACTCGTACTCCATCTGTTGGTGGCAGCACGCACGCAACGGTGCAGCACAGTGAGCGCAGTGGCAGAGTGAGCATACACGTAGACGAAAAGTGATGTCGACAGGTGATTGGTCCATCCTGCAGGCACGCCGTTCCGCCATGTACACGCATACAGGAGCGCAGTGCACTCAATGGCGAACCTGAGCGAAGGAGACGGCGGTGGTTGCGCTCGGGTTTGCAACAAAGTCACCGCCTGGTGTTGTCCACGCCTTGAAAGGGTACATGGCGTGGTTCCACGTCACATCGTACATTGTCGCTGTTGTGTGGAAGATGGGTGTATGTGCATGTGGTGGGGAAGGGGGACATGACAGTGGTGAGCTGCAGTTGAGACATTGAGGCGCCCGCAAAGCGCCCAGCAGAAGCCCAGAACAGAGCACACGTACACAAGGGTGCATACATTCAGACCACAACACACACACACACACACACACACACACACACACACACACACACACACACACACACACATGTACACACCTGGCGCGCCCTTGCCGCCGTTGAAGGAAGCAGTGCCTTCCCCAAACTCGCCCAGGAGGCGATGCAGCGTGTAGTCCTTTGGCAGGGGCAGTTTCACCTTCTGCAGGAACAGGAACACGGATGCGCTGTTGATCGTGGACCCTTCGGGGATCTCACGATCAATGTCGAACCACAGCGCAGCGCGCATGCGCCTTCCCTCAGCAAGGACACCTATGCGCGCGCGTGTGTGTGAGTGTGTGAGTGAGTGAGTGAGTGTGTGTGTGTGTGGGAGTGTACAGATTGGGAGCGCATCGAGCATAAGTGGGGCAAGGTGCACGGATGTTGTCTTGCACATGATGTACCAGAGTAGATGCCGTCGGAGAGCCCAGCAGCATTGGTTTCCTCGCCAGCAGGCTGCCACAATGTTGTGCACGAGATGATGTCGTGGATGAGTTGAAAGGTGCTGGCTCTGTGTGCATGTGTCAGTGTGCAAGCGCAAACGCTCATGTAAAGCCGAAATAACACACACACACACACACACACACACACACACACACACACACACACACACACACACACGCACACGGACAGACAGACATACGCACACACACACACACACACACACACACACACACACACACACACACACACACACACACACACACACACACCTCTATGAGGGTGCCATCGCGAGCTGGGTAGATGGTGACCGTCTTTGCCGTCGCTGCGGATGCAGTCAGCACCAGGAGCAGTGCAAATGCCAGCGCCACGAGACGTAACCTCGCCATCGCCGGTGCTGTTGTGGTGGGTGCAGCTGTGTTTGCTTAATGTGGGCGATTGGTTGTGCGTGAAACGCGCGCGAGCGTGTCTTTGTGTTGTTGTGCTTGTGTTGGTTGGTTGCCTATCGTGCGCGCAGCAGGTGTTGAGCTCCACTCGTGTTCGGGAGTACAACAGCAAATGCACGAAGAAGAGACGGAAAGGTTGCGGACGGTGGTAAATGGAAGGAAGCGTGGCGGTGATGGTGGTGGCGACAGCCAAGGGTCGTGGGTCGTGGATGTGGTGGTGGCTGGATGGATGTGTGGGGTGATGATGGTGAGGGAGAATGTGGGTGGATGCAAGAAGGGATGGATGCGTGTTGATGGGTTGGATGGAAGGAAAGGACGCCGCCACCCACGATGATGATGGATGGTGTGGTGTGGTGTGGTTTGGTTTCGTGTGGAGGATGAAGCAAGACGCACACGAACAACGCCGCTTGCGTGAACCGCTGATGGCAGTGATGAAGGGTTTGCGTCGGTGTTGGCACGCAAAGCACTCGCGCCCGTCGTGAGGCGAACACTGCCATCGCTGCCAGACAAGCAACATCGCATTCGCAGCATTCCAGGCATCGCCGAGCAACGCACGTTGTTGGCCAGCGCACCACATCGCCCACCATCGCTCTCCCTTCGCCACCCGAAAAATGCCAGCAAATGTGCGGATTCGCGCACCTAAACGCGTTTGGTTCGAAACACTTGCTTGATTTTGCGCTTTGTGGCTGCTTCTTGCTTTGTTTTGTGGCTCGTTGCTGCTGCTGCTGCTGATGTGCCTGTTGAGGGCTGCACTGCTGTTTCCGCTGTGCTTGCTCCTGCGCGCATGCTATGCCGCTTGCTGCTGTTGGAGGTGGTTTTGTGGTGTTTGGAGTGTCCTTTGGTGTGCAGTGTCCCGTGTTGTGAAAGGAGCAGCCGCTTTTTTTTTGTTTGTCGATGCGTAAGGCAGGTGGAATGAATGGTTTCTTGTTCGCTTCCGTCCACACATCCAGCTTTCAAGTCGTGATAACCACCGGCTCAGCAACAGTAAACAACAACAACAACAACAATTTGTGTTTCGCCTCCTCCTCCTGTTGTATCAGGTGCAGAGAGGCATGTCCACTATTCCACACCAACGCACACGGACACACACACACGGACGCACACACACACGGACGCACACACACACACACACACACACACACACACACACACACACACACACACAGACAACACTATTTCTTGGCAAAAGCCACTGTGATCTTGGACCCAGGCGCAATCTCGTGCTGGTGCAGCTGCACCTTGGCATATCCGCTCTGGCCATTGCAAGCAACAAAAGCAGAGGAGGGTAAAAGAGGGGGGGGGGATCACGTGAGATGACAAGAGAAGAGACGAGGTGAGGTGAGATAAGATAAGGGCCATGTGAAATGCATTGATGGGCGGGGGATTGTGGGTGTGATGTCGTGTGGACAAGTGGACGGTGACGAGCATGTACTCATGCCGCATGCACACAATCGTCAACACGCGTTCTGACCTGCATGGGGTTGTCGTACTCGACAAAGGCAATGTCGGGCCTGGACGGGACTGTTCGCACCTCCTTGAACCCTGCAAACTGCTTGAACAGGTTCTGCACACCATGGAGCGGACACATGTGTGTACGTGCGTGTGTGTGTGCATGTGTGTGTGCGTGTGTGTGTGTGTGTGTGTGTGTGTGTGTGTGTGTGTGTGTGTGTGTGTGTGTGTGTGTGTGTGTGTGTGTGTGTGTGTTAGAGAGTGCCGCAGGCGTCACACGCGCGCATTGCCCACGTTCGACTGCATATGGTACAATTGCTCATGCACGCACGCACACGCATGCACACACACATGCACACAAGCACATCACACAAACAAAAAGCGATGACGTACTGTGATGCGTTCTGCGGTGGTGCCTGCAGGGATGTTCTGCACAAAGAGAATGGCGTTGGGCTCCTCCACTGTTGTGCAAAGCAACAACACCACATGGAGCAGTACATACAACATAACCACAGCAATTGACGTTCAACACGTGAGCAATATACCGCTTGCACATGCATGTGTTTGCGTGTGCGTGCGTGGATGTGGCAAAGTTACAGAAGCTGCACGCATGACGCATGCAAACAAACAAACAAACAGAATGCACACAGCAGCCGTACCTTGCGGCGCAGCCGGCGGCTGTTGTCATGGCAATTCGTTGCACGAAAGGAGCAGAGGGCACGCGAACCAGGGCACGGGGAAAGACGAAGCAAGCATGACGTGAGGGCCCAGTTTGTGTGTCAAGGGCAAGCGCAGGCGAAAGGATGCCACAGCCAAGCAAGTCGTTGAGGCAAAACAGAAGAGGACACACAACCACACTCCCCGAACCAACTCTGCTTCTCCCTATCTACCCTTCCACAACTCCCCGCACAGCCACGTCCCCCCCCCCTCTCAAGCAGCGCACCATGCCCGGTGGCGGGGGCGCGGGCGGGCGTCCGTACTGCCCATATGGCGGATACGATGGCGGCGCTCCCGGTGGCGGCGGCTGTTGCTGCTGCTGCCCATATGCTGGCGGCTGTGCTGCATACGGCTGTGGCGGGTACCCTGGCGGGCCTGCTGGTGGCTGCTGCTGCTGCTGCGCCGGCGGTTGCTGGGGCGCTGCTGCAGGCTGCTCATCCATTTTCGCCCGCTTGTGGGGCTGTGCACCGTGCTCCTCCTCATCCTCAGACTCCTCCTCGTCCGACTCCACTGCATGTGCACGAGCGCGTGTAAATTATCGGTTGACGTTGTGAGTGACACTTTGCGGCTGCCGAGGACAGTACACGGAAACATGTGTGTGTGTGTGTGTGTGTGTGTGTGTGTGTGTGTGTGTGTGTGTGTGTGTTGTGTGTGTGTGTGTGTGTGTGTCTCACATCCTCAGATCACAAGTGCTCCAACTCCACACAGAACAGCCGACCTTTCTTCTGCTCAGGCTTTGGCGGGAGGGGCTTCTTCTCGCGCGGCTTGAAGGTGCCGTCCCGTTTTGCAATCACATCCGACTTGGTCTTGGCAAAGTTGATGCGCTGGCACCGACACGACAACGAGGAGGAGGAGGAGGAGGAGGGGAGTGTAAATTGGTGATGATGAGGGTATGGTGAGGGATGGTGGTGTTGGCGTGACGTGAAGGCAAACCAAACACCACGAGGCATTCAAATCAAGGCATACATGCGTAAACACACACACACACACACAACACACACACACACACACACACAACACACACAACACACACAAACACACACATACCATTGGTTTTCCAACAAAGGGAAAGCCCTGCATGGCGGAGATGGCGGCCTTGGCGCTGTCGACAGAATCAAACACCACAAACGCCTGTCCGCGACGATAGTACGACTTCATCGCCACAATTTGCAGGATCTACAACATGATAACAGGCAAGAAGAAGACGTGTCACGGCAACAATGTCTGAACGAAGCGCCGATCACAGCATCGCCTCCAAAAACGGACAGTCACTCACACAACCAAGCGACCGCAAAAAAGAGTACACGCACACACACACACACACACACACACACACACACACACACGCACACAAACACGCGCGCGCGTTCACACACATACACGAACAAACAACAGTACACACACACACACACGCACACACACACATACACGAACAAACAACAGGCCACACACACATGCCACTGACCAACCTTGCCAAACTGCTTGAAGACGGCGGTGAGCGCCTTCTTCAGCTCATCTTCCTTGACCTTCTCGTTCAAGTTGTTAATGTAGATGGTGTTGTTCTCCGGCAACAGGTCCGTGTCATTTTCCCCTGCCTCTGCTCCTTGCGCAGCTGCCTGTGTTGTGTCCTGTTCCTCTTGCTTTGTTGCTGCCTGCTGTTCTCCATTTGCCGTTGGCTGTGCTGTCCCCGCTGTGCCGTTCTCTCCCGCTTGTGCGCTGCCAGTTTCCCCGGTCTCTTCCTGCTTCACACCGTCTGCCTGTGCTGCTTGCTCCTGCTGTTGCTGGGCTGCATCTGTCGCGGGAGCAGGCGGCATCCCGGGCGGCTGTGGCGGCATGCCGTACGGCGCACCCTGTGGTGGAAACGGTGGCGGCGCGCCAAACGGCGGCGGCTGTGGAGGAAACCCAGGGAAACCTGCACCTGGCGGGGGCGGGAACGGCGGCCGCTGTGACATGGGCGGCACTGGCGGGTGTTGTGATGAAGATGATGCTACTGCTGCTGGTGGTGGTGGTGCTTGTGTTGAAGGTGGTGGTGGCTGCTGTTGGGCTGCATCTGGTGCAGCTCCTGGTTGTGATGCCTGTGCACAAATCAAAAAGGGATGAATGTGTGTGTGTGTATGCGTATGTGTGTGTATGAGTGTGGGTGAACGTGTGCGTGAAAACATATGTGCGAGTGTGTGTGTGTGTATGAGTGTGCGTGAACGTGTGCGTGAAAACATATGTGCGAGTGTGTGCTTGTATGAGTGAATGTGATTGTGTTGTGAATGGGGTGAATGTTGTGTGCTTTGGGGACACAACACAAGCACAAGCACAAGCCAACAGACAAAAGGGACAGCAGCCAGGTGCACTGCGTCCTTTCCTGCCGTTCCCTTCCTGTCCAGTGCCCCCCTCGCCCCCTCCCACTGTCCTCATTGTTGTCATCGTCATGTCCCTCTCTCATCACCACCAACACACATCTCCACCACACGCACTCACCATCGTCGCCGCTGCTGTTGTTGAGACGTGCGCAGTGGCAGTGGCGGGAATGGCCCCCTGATTTCAGGGTCAACTACTTTACATGCTGTTTTACAACAAGAACATGGCTGGTGGGAGGACAGCGGCTGCTAGCGGCGGCGATGATGCTGGCAAAGCACACCATCAACATCAACCACCACGGGCGTCGTCCTCGAGCATGGCGGCTCCAACAAGCACGTCCTCATTGCTGCTGGCATTCGCTTGCACGCTTGTGGTGACGGCGGTCGCGTACTCAAACAGCTACCATGGCAAATTCGTGTTTGACGACCTCCCAGCCATCCAGCAGGTACTTGCAGCACGCTTCTCTGTGTGTGCGTGCATGTGTGTGCATGTGTGTGCATGTGCATGTGTGTCTGAAGCGAAGCTTTTGGCGCACAGGGCGTTGACACAAAGGCGTTGACACAAAGACGTTGACACAAAGACGTTGAAGCAAAGGCGTTGAAGTTTGGATCTTCTCAGCTTTCGAGCTTGTTCTCCTCTGCCAATGACAAACGAGTGCACTGGTGACCTGTGTGTGTGTGCGTTTCTCTTCTGCAGAATGCTGATGTGGACTCTTCCAAGACATCAGTGCTGGATGTGTTTAACGACAACTTTTGGGGCGAGAGGATGGACGCGCACGACGCCCAACACGAGGTGTGCACGTCTCTCTGTCTGTGATTTGTCGTTACTCCTGCCATTCCCCTGCGTTTGAACCCTCCGCTGATCCGCCTTGTTCTTCCTTGTGCACTATCACTGATTGTGTGTTGTGTGTTCACAACCGTGTGTCACTGCTGCAGTCCTATCGGCCGTTGACCACCCTCACCTTCCGCTGGGGACACGGTAAGCATCTACACCGCCAGCTGCACCTCAAGCTCAGCCTTCCCTGTGTGCAGCACAGCCCATGTCGAAACTCACATCTCATGTCACCATGAATGCCAGACATCCACGGCATGAACGAAACTGGTTTTCACATCACCAACGTGGCCATGCACACCATTGCCAGGTCAGGTTCCAAATTGAAGCATGTGCATGTGTGTGTGTGTGCATGCGTGTGTGTGCATGTTGCACTTCTGTGACGAGCAGACACCACTCCGCATGCCACACCACACCCCGCAAACAACCCTCTCTCACTCTCACTCTCACACACACACACACACTCTCTCTCTCTCACATACACACGTGCACACACACACACACATACACACATGTGATCTTGCAGCTGCTTGGTGGTGGTCATGACACCTCTTGTGATTGACGCACCGACAACACCCGAGCTTGTGCTCGTCGGCAGTCTCTTTGCAGCCCACCCCATTCACACCGAGGTTCGTCCAGGCTAACGTGACATAATTGCATCGCACAGCACAGCACAGCACACACACACACACACACACACACACACACACACACACACACACACACACGCACACACACACACACACACACACACACACACACACATACACACACAAACGCCCACACACACGCACACACACACACACAAACGCACACAAACGCCCACACACACGCACACACACACACACACACACACACACACACACACACACACACACACACACACACACACACACACACACACACACACACGCACGCACGCACACACACGCGCACACACACACGCACACACACACACCTCAACACCACAGGCGGTGACCGGTCTTGTTGGCCGGGCTGAGCTGCTCTCTGCCATCTTCTTCATCGCTTCGTTTCTCGCTTACACCAGGTACTTGACCCGCGACAATTCCTGCCGACACCAGCCCACCTGTCACGGCTGTATGTCACAGTTCATCTACGCTCACACTTACGCGCATACGCCTGTTGCTCCACATTCATTTGACCAGAGCAAGCAAGTATGTTGGTGACATCAAGGCAGCGGCAACATGGGTTGCCATCTCCGTCGCCCTCGCAACAGCTGCCATGCTCTCAAAGGAACAAGGTGCGCACATGTGTGTGTATGTGTGTGAATAACTTCTCTTTCACTGTGCCAGCCCACCTTGTCGATTGCCATGTGAACATTGGGCTGCCTGTGCAATTTATTGAATGCACCCTGCATCCACCTCACGACGCGATCCATCACCTTCCCATTTCCCCTCCCCATTCTCATGTGCTGTCAGGTGTCACTGTGGTTGGTGTCTGCCTCGCATATGAGCTCTTGGTCAACTGCAACCTCAATCCCATCGCCCTCCTGCTCCGTGCTCGGGTGAGGACTACGCTCCAGGTGTTGTGTATTTGCTGCAGTCATTCGCATCACCTATCGTGTTGTATGCTCAGCCGCTTCTTCCTGTGCTTTCTTCCTGTGCTGTCTTCCTGTGCTCTTGCAATCCCTGACATCACGGCTCATTTGTGTCACGTGTGACATGGCATGCCCGGTCTTCCCTAGTCTGCAAAGGGGACAAAACGTCCGGGCGGAGGTCGGCGCCCAAAAGTGGCCGTCAGTGGCCCTTCGCAGCAGCAGAAGAAGGACAGGAGCAGTCCATGGATTACAGTGTCCACCGGTGCCGTTGTGCGCCTGCTGCTTCTGCTCGTCCTCTCCGCTATCGTCATGAAATACCGCGTCTCTCTCAACAAAGTCCACATCAAGGTGGGCTGTCGCGCTCGGTGTGTGTGCGCGTGTGTGTGATGATGAGAGAGAGTGTGTGTGTCTGTGGAGCTGTGGAGCTGTGTGTGTGTATGTGTGTGTGTGTGTGTGTGTGTGTGTGTGGAGCAGCTGTGGTGGTTGTGTTGTGGATGCCAATATTTGTGTCAAAGTGTGCGTGCTGTCTATTCATGCTCTGTGGGTTATTACCCGGTGGCAAGTTTGACGTTGGCAGGTCTGTTTTGTTTGAACCCAGCGCGTTCCAAACACGTACAACACACCTCACGCATCGTCTCTGTGGCTTGTCGACTTGCACGCGTTGTCACACAACGACAGGTGGATGAGAAGACCAATCCTGCCAACCACATGGAGAGCTTTGTGTTCCGCTCTCTCACCAAAAACCTCTATGTCACGCTGCACGCCTGGCTGCTCATCTTCCCGCTCTGGCTCTGCTGCGACTGGTCGGCCGGCGCCGTTCCGAGTGTTACATCTGCATCGGATCCCCGTATTGTTTACATCCTCCTGTTCTACCTCGCGTTGGCCGCAGTCATCCTCGCTGCCCTTCGCGCACGCAGGTGTGTGTGTGTGTGTGTGTGCGTGTGTGTGTGTGTGTGTGTGTGTGTGTGTGTGTGTGTGTGTGTGTGTGTGTGTGTGTAGTAGTAGTAGTGTGTGTAGTAGTGTGTGTGTGTTATGCGATTGGACCGCGATATAGTCTACCTAAGACCGGAGACCAGCCCCTCTGGGACAACATGACTCTCGATGTGCACTCAGACACTATCGTCGTCCGGCAAAATACGAACGCGGACCCTTTATCAGTCCATCTGATCACGGACAAGCCCTAGTACGAGGAAAATCTCGCCAGTGGGCGCGTTAATTAACCTAGACGCACTCGTCATAGGCGTAATGCGAAGTGAGCAGGTTTCTAGCTTGACTCGCGCTACGACTTGAGGCTTGGAGGGGTTGCGCCCTATTGAGGATGTTGAGATGTGGTCAATCCACTGGATTTTCTTGAGATAATTCGGCGTGTCGGGGGCTGTTGGCCACTAATAATTTGGCACGTTCTACTTAGCCTCACATTTCCCACCCTACATGTTACACGGTCCAACACCCATTGCATGAGCTCCGGGCCAAGATTGTGACGCCGTTTAAAATAGGAACAGAAGCTACCAGTTGGGGGGTCTCATCATCCTTGACTCAGCAACCTTTTAGCATTTTTTTCGGCTGCATTGAGACCTGACTGCCTTTTCAATGTAGGCCTACGAAGCCCGTGTGTGTGTGTGTGTGCGTGTGTGTGTGTGTGTGTGTGTGTGTGTGTGTGTGTGTGTGTGTGGTGTGCGTTGCTGCGTGCTGCATCACGAAATCATGCCGTCAAGTACGATGCTCACGTGTCCCCTTGCTGGTGTGATGAACCCACCCACCAGCATTGGCTTCTGCCTGCTGCTCATCATTGGAGCACGAGTGCTTGCAGGCAACCGACCGCTCCATTGGCGCTCATACGCTGCGGCGCTTCTCGCCCTCGTTGTTGCTGCGTATTCATTCCGCACACACACCCGCAACGAGGTTGGTCCGTGCATGCGCACGTGCGTGCGCGCATGTGCCTGTGGTTCCACGTATGTGCTCATGTAAACTGCTCGTGCTCGTGACTCACGCGTGCCCCTCCCCCCTCACACCTCACACGCGTATGAACGTTGTAGGATTGGAAAGATGAACTGTCGTTGTACCGATCGGGTTTGATTGCTGCGCCAACAAACGCAAAGTTGCATCACAACGCCGCATACTACATGTCTGGCGAGGTGAGAATGCGCACGCGCACCGTAGTTGCTTGTGTTGTTTGTGTTGTGTTTTGTTGTGTTGTGTTGTTTTGATTTGTGTTGTTTTGATTTGTGTTGTGTTGTGTTGTGTTGTGTTTTGGTTTGGTTTGGTTTGGTTTGGTTTGTTTGCGATGATGTTGACACTCGTGTGCGTGTACGCGTATCACGTGTTCTTACCACAAACCATATGCAACAACATGTCCCTTTGCTCGCCTTTTCATGCCTTGTCCACGTTGCCGTGCTGTTGTGACCGTGTACTCGCTTCATGGCCAACAGGAACAAGAACACCATTTCCGTGAAGCAATCCGACTCTATCCGCCTTACGTCTCCGCATACATCAATCTCGGTGTGCTGTATGTGCGCGTGTGTGTTGGCAATGCAGGGTGAACGCAGCATGCCTTTGGCGCCATCATCAATACCATGTTTGGCAATTTCCTCAACTCATTCATGGACACACACGCGCGCGCACGTGCACACACACATACACACGCACACACATCGCAGGGGTCAATTTGGCAAAGGCTGGGCGGATTGATGAAGCCATTGAGGTGAATGCGTGGTTGCACTGTCGCTGTATTGTTAGTCGCTCACCTGCACCACACGTGCTCGCCACGTTACAGCACTGAGGTGACCAATGCATTGTACACGTACGCAATGTACGCGCCCATTTCCTTGCACCTGCGTGCGATTGCAGACGTACAGGAGCGGGCTGGCGATGCACTACAAGCATCCAATCTACTCGACCGATGTCGGCGTCATCCACCGCAACCTCGGATATGCGTACATGCGCAAAGGCAATCTCAACGCCGCCCTCGAGCAATTCAAGGTCGTGTCTTTTCAAAACTAGGGCTGGGGCTTGGGTGAAGGGGAAGGAGGTGTGATGTCGGCCTGCTCTTTATTTCTTTCATTTTGGTTGATGTTTGACGTTCACCCTGCATGTGGCCGGTGCATTTGGCCGAGTGAATGAGCACAGCCTTCATCTGCTAAACACACGCGCCCTGCCGCAGCTACCACCACCAATCCAACCTCCTCGACCACCACAACCCACCACGTCCAACACGCAACATGCACAATCTCACGGTGTGCATCCCTCTGCCCGCCCCTTCCTCCCTTTACAGGCGTGTTTGCATGTGCGCACGGATCGCACGCGCTGCCACCAAATGGTGCAGCACCTCGAGCAGCAGATTGCACAGCAGCAGCAACAACAACAACAGCAGCAGCAGCACAGCGGCAGCAGCAAGGGGCGGGGTAGCGAGTCTCGCAGTGGCGGCGATGATGGCGGTGACAGCCAGTTTCGCGAGAAGGTGGAGCATGTTGGAGGAGAGAGGCTGGCGCGGCTGCGAAGGGAAAAGAGCGGCACAATGGTGATGTTCTATGCACCGTGGTGCAACCATTGCCGTGCCATGCACACCGATTACATTAAGGTGGCTGAAATGTGTGAATCTGAAATGTGTGTAGCGTGTGTAGCGTTGTGTATTGTGTGTGTGTGTGTGTGTGTAGTGAGTGTGTCGTGAGTGTAGCTTGTGTAGCGTGTGTAGCGTTGTGTAGCGTTGTGTATTGTGTGTGTGTGTGCTGGAGGAGGTTGAGGAGTCATGGAAAGCAATTTGAGCTCCTATCATACACAACACACGCACACACACCCTCACACAACACAACACACTTACGCGCATTACTCTCAATGACGACGACCAACAGGCAAAGGGGCGCTTGAATTCGCCGGTTGTTGCTGTGGACTGCACACAACAAGAGGAGCTTTGCAAGGACCAGGGCGTCACAGGATACCCAACTCTCAGGTCCGCACAGCAACATTGCGTGTGTGTGTGTGTACGTGTGTGTACGTGTGTACGTGTGTGTGTGCGTGTGTGTGTGTGTGTGTACGTGTGTGTGTGTGTGCATTTGACAGCAAGGGGAGCACTTCAGTGTTGACATAACACGTTTCTTTGTTGTGAAATGCTTTATGGGGCACATGATCCAGGTTGCTCGGGGAGACACGACAGGAGGATGTGGAGTACACGGGTAACCGCGAGGCAGACGACGTGGTTGCGTTTGTTATCGACAAGACCCGGCGCAACCGCAACTGACCCAACACGCAGTGCAGTGCTTCTACATCCATGGTTTGGGCAAGGGACAAGAAGGGGCGGGTGTAATGAGGTAACGGGGCGACGAGCGAACACATTATCGAAGCAGTAAACACCCAGCAAGGTGTGCTGTGTAAAGGAACCGTTTGTTGTGAGGGATCTTGATCGCCAATGAGAGGAGAAGAGTGACGAAGACGGGAGAGAGCCATGGGGTCAAGAGAACACTGGGGCAACACACTGTCAGCTAGCTCAAACACACACACACACACATACAAACACACATACACACACACACACACACACACACACACACACACACACACACACACACACACACACACACACACACACACACGCACACGCCTGCTTCAGCAGTGTGTGCCGATGACCAGGACGGAGGACGAGTGCGATGGCACAGCGTAGACTGCGCCATCATCACCCAGGACACAGCCACCCCAGTTGAGCGTGCCGGGCGGGATGGCGGCGATGGTGATTGTGTCGACGACGTTGGTGGCGGGATCAATGACCAGTGCCGCCGTGCCTTGCAGCGGAACGGCGAGCACACGGTTGTCTCCCAGGACGACGTTGCAAAACCACTTGTTGCTGGACTCGCGCAACGCACTGCTGCCGGCAATCGTGGTGTTGTCGGCGGTGTTGGTGCTGGGGTCGATGATAAGCACGCGGTCTGAGTCGCGTGGGGACGCATAGATCATGCCGTTGTTGGCCAGCGCTGCGCCATTCCATTTGTATGGCAGAGCGCCCAGCCCAGACATGGTGGTAATGTCGGCCGAGTTGTCGGTTGGATCGATGATGAGAACGGACGAGTGGTGGGAAGGAATGCCGTAGATTAGGCCGTTGGGTGCCAGCACACCGCCAAACCACTTGAAGTTGCCACTGAAGCCGGTGATGGTTGTGGTGTCCGTGGTGTTGGCAGTGGGGTCGATGATGAGCAC